GTCCCTGTCCGCCGCCACCGACTTGCGCGTNTTAGCTAATGCACTCTCTATGTCGCCCTTATCTATGGCCTCTGGTTTGAACTCGGGCTTGGTGAAGTTGCGCCGCCTGCCGTGCCAGATTTCGTAGGGGGCCGTGAAATTACCGTTGGCTCCTGGGCCCGCCTTGGCCAGAGCAACGGAGTAGCACTTAAGGCGGCGGTGAGCGATCTTGAGGCATTCTCCCGCGACGGCCAGCTGGGGTTCGTTCGCATCCAGCGCGGTGATGGCGGTCTCTAGCAGCATTAGCGTTCCTTCGTCGAGCTGCTCCCGCTGCTCGTGTGGTGCTGTCAGCTTCGGTGCGTCATTTGCTTGAACTTCCGTCCTTATTGCTGCTAGCTGTTCTCTTGCGGATGGCATGATGGTCACGTCTTTTGTGATGACAACGTCAGGAGAGCGATCCCGAGGCGGTGCTGTCCGGGGATCCCTGGCTGGCGCTTTTGGCGCGTTGGCCTGCGCTGCTGACAGGACGCCCAGCAGCAGCTGGTGAAGAGTCGGCTGGTCTATGTTCCCGCTCAAAGTATCCCTGGCGGCTTCTATGTCGTTTTGGTTGGCTGGCAGCATCTGGCCCGATCCCCCTTCGCCGGCTGCTTCGGCCGCTCCTGCGTTGACCAGGTTATCTCCCGTTGCCTTTGTCCTCTTACCCGTCATTTTTTGATTTTTGTGACGGAGCTCCTGGTTGTTCCTCGGAGAGTGACAGGTCCGCGGCGATGTCGATTCGTTGTGGTAGAGCGTCGATGAGGCTTGAGGGTAGTCGGTAAGGTCTTGGATAAAAGTGAGAGCAACAATAATAATAAGCTCCAATAGTGTAGGCAGAATGCCGGAACTATGGAGCTGTCAGCTGAAATAGTAAATTCGAATTCTCAGCAAGCCATACGGCTGCCGTACATAACCTAGCTTAGAGGCTATACTCGCTTTGCTCCTGCCGCATCTAAGCTACAATTTTTGGGCGGGGCCCCAGCGCGAAGCGCCCAGGGGGGCCCCGACCTGTAGGATTGCCCATGTCCGTGTGTGCGTGTGTAACGGACCAAACATAATATCTGCGCCCGGCTGAAACGCGTTATAGGTACTATATAGCATTCTCTATCGCGAGGTATCTCGCCTTTAGCCAACAAAAATCGTATGAGCACAGACAACTTTGGCTGCCTCAATTGACCGAGGCCAAAGTCACATCAGCGCCTCTCGGGCTAAATTTAATCTCAAAGGTACCGCGTATCTCATATTTGAATTCTTAGATGACGGCGTATGATAACTCGAACTCCCAGGCCTTGAGTGTGTAACGGACCAAACATAATGTTTTACCCGGCTGAAACGCGTTATCGGTACTATATAGCATTCTCTATTGCAAGGTATCTCGCATGTAGCTAACAAAGATCGTATGAGCACAAACAACTTTGGCTGCCTCCATTGACCGAGCTCATGGTCACATCAACGCCTCTCGGGCTAACAAAGATCGTATGAGCACAAACAAGTTTAGCTGCCTCCATTCACCGACCTCAAGAGTCACATCAACGCCTCTCGGGCTAAATTTCATCCCGAAAGCTGCCGCGTATCTCATAATGGAATTCTGAGATGACGGCGTATGATAACTCGAACACCCAGCTTGTGTTACCATTTGCCGGCATGGGCAATCCGACTTGCCACCAGCAGGCCAACAAATTTGCTTTCATTTCTCTATGAAATACACAAGCTGCTTGTTTGTACATTTACTTTGGCCAATGCACGGGGCCTCAAGACCTAAACATCACAGACAGCACACAGGTCAGCAACCGATGGGTGTGCCACGGAATAGTCCCGAAATCGCTCGAAAATACATTCGTTACACAAACACTAGCTCCCACCATGTTGACATTGCCCATCAATTGTCACACTTGCCACCCATGCTACCAGCCTGTACGGATGCAGAGGGGCCCCGCCCTTTTTCCGGCTTCCTTGAAGCCGACACCCAACTTGTTGTTTGTAGCAACGGATGCCATGAGGCCAGGACCAGGTTTAATTTGTTGGGCTCGGTTACTTTACAGCATCGGAGCCGGTGGTTAATGGCTTCATTTCCCATCAAGTTGCTCTCACAGCGGGTGTGCGGCAGGGGTGTCCGTTGGCACCTTTGCTATACTTGTTTGTCGCGCAGGCGCTTCTATGCTGGTTACAGCACAATCGAGTGGGGATTCGCCTACCCCCAATTATTACAGAAGTTCTTACAGCGGTGCAATTTGCTGATGATAAGGAAGTTGTCTTAGAGGAAATGGGGTCATTCCTGCTTTCCTTGATTGTATGCTGGTGTACACGCAGGCCTCTGGACAGCAGCTTAACCTGGATAATGTTGAGCTTTTACCTGTCGGTATCCACCCACACGAAGTGCAAATAATTCATGACATGAAGGTGGCACACACGGCTACGGCGCTCGATTTGCCTTTTACAGATGTGGGGGACACCCCGGTCATGGGCTGGGACGTGCAATTCGACAAAGTTTTGGACTCGATACCAACGCATTTCCATGCTGCACCTTTCTATTTTTGGGCGTGCACATGCAGCGGCCGCCTATGGACTGCATCGTTTTACGTGGCATATGGAGCACGGGGGGCATCCCCCAGAAGTGAAACTTATGAATATCGGCTTTTGTACGAACTAAACTGTAACTCATCGGGGGAGGTCTGGGGGCGCGTAGACCCCAGCGCCTTACAGATTAGGAATACTTTTATTCCCGCGACTAAAAACCTATTCCTCCGTTCGGACTGGAAAATTGACGGGCAAAAATGAAAAAAAACTCTGCCCTCAATTAACATCCGCCCAGGGCTGGAGGTTAGATACCAAGCACTCCTAGGCTGTAAAGCAGTGAAAACGTTGGGGATATTCTTCTTGCCCGAGATGCTTTAGAATATGCACACACCGAACCAGGCAGGTCTAGCAATCGACAGGGCATGGCATCAAACCGTGGAACAATACCTCCAGCCGCGGACCCCACTAGCTCAATCCCTTTGCACCTCTCATAAGTGGCATGAGTGTATTAATGCCATTGTCGCTCTCTTAGCTGATATCCCTGCGCATTGGCGACAGGCGGCTAGTCTTTTGTTGCCTCTGAGTGCAGAATCTAGAGCAGCTATGGTGCCCTCCATTGAGTCTGTTACCCAAACCCTGGTGTTGAGGTTAGGTTGGAATTGGAGTTGAGGGGCCCCCATCAGACTTCAAGGTCTATCCGTTAAATTAGCGACTGGTATGCAACTTTTGCGAGTTTCTGTGGCTCACCGTGTAGCCCATACCCTGTTTATTAAAGAGGCTACGGGCGAGGCTATTCTTACTTCGCAACGGACCTTCTATCGTTTATGGTCTCATTTACAATGGGAAAATGAACAACAAGAGGTTTGGTGGCGTCTCACGGTTGATGGGCTGCCCATGTTAGGAAGTTCCCATCTCAGGATGTCGCGGCCAACAGTGTGTGGTTGTGGAGGTTATCCAGTAGGTTCCTTGGGAGGTGCATCCCCTCGCTGTCATCACTTCTGGGCCTGTCCGGTGGCACAGGCAGTATCGGACCAACTCACTCTGTCAATAGGATTGCCACTGCCACGGGAATAACTTTGGATTGTCCAAGCCCCACAAGCAATGCAACAATCCCTTTGGGATGTTGTGTGTAACACCAGGCAAAGTGTACTCAGGGAGTTGCCAAGGGAGCTGAACCCTTCTTACATTGTGGCTCTCGCTGGGGTGTCAGCCATGGAGCATGGGAGACGGTATTTGGCTGCAGCCATGAAAACCAACCCGGCACTGTTACCTGGCCCTTCCCTTACAGAAGGAGCCATTTATCGAGTTGTTGACTTTTGGGGCCGCCTTCGGGGTTTCGCAGCTCTGGGAGTTCGACGGAATGGATGGGATTCTGTTGGGACACATCACCCCTTCTTGCAAATTGTGATAGACGATTAGCTATCACCTAGTTTTGCTGCTTTATTTTGGTTTCTTTTAATTGGGGGACTTTTGAGGCTCAGGCCTCATTTAGTAATGGTTGTGGGTTCTGAGCCTTCCCTTTGGTTGCGCTTTTGGCTGTCTAGATAACTTGCGTTGTCTCTTTTGGGTGAGAATTTACTTTGTCACATGTTTGTCTCAAGTGCAGTGCACGGCCAGCTAGCCCGCTGGCTCTACTCTTCGTGAGTCTGGAGCCCACTGTAACAACCACACATAATCCCGCCGACGGATGAATGCTGATTGCTTATTACTTCGTCTGCGGATTTAGCAATAGCCAGGTGCTTTGTTGAACAGGTCGGGTGTAACGACCTGTTCATATGCAGGCGAATCAGGGTTGATTCATGCGAAATGGACTGTGAATCGGCGGAGCCAAATAGGCCTGAATCGGAATTGGGGTCTGGGCTGTCTGGGGCCCCTCGCTCAGCGTCGCTCTTGGAGTATGTTGTTACAGGGTGGTTAAGCTTCACCAGAGGCCCCCTTTCCCGAGGTAGTTCCCTGCTCTCCCCTGCGAGAGGGGCACCCTAATCCATTCACCCCATCCGACTTCAGAATGTATTCGTTGGGTTCAGCAACTCACCACCAGCATCCAACCAAATCTAGCGGATCAACGGCGCCTCAACTTAGTTCCTGGTCAGGTCGCAAGTTGATATTATCACGTCCTACCCGGTCCATAAGATGAGGGGCCACCTCCCATTCCACCTCCTCTCACACACCCGAGAGGTCGGCAAACGGATTTGAGCCTGGACACTCCGGGAGCAGAAGTCAGGCCTTAACCTCTGCCAGCCGCCTGCCAGGATTCGGCATAATTGATGAAATGCATTCTCTAGATAAGGCCGCTTTATAAACCGTTTCCCATAACCACTTCTATGATAAAGCATAACAATTTCCAGTTACACAAAGCGCACCGATCATTCTTGGACCAGCCAATAGTTGCAGCTATACAGTACAGGGCTGGCGATGACATTGATCAAAAAGGACATAGTCATAGAGTCATATCCTATAAATAATGCTGGCGACCTTTAGGCTGTCATGGGCAAATTGCGACTGTGCGACATTTTGCGTGCCGCAATCGCATGTGAATACAATTCTAATCGCCGGAACGAATGAAACGAATAATCACACTGCATGTGAACAAACCCTAAAGTGGGAAAAGGGGCGGGGCCCCTCGCTATACATCTGTATAGGTTGGCAGCTCCAAGAAATGGTAATTCGCTAGGCGGTTAATTCCGTTGGCCTCCAATCCCTCCTATCCTTTGCGCTGGGAGTGATGAGGATGGGTTGGTGTCTGAGTACATGGGAGGGGGGGGGCCGGGAATGTCGGAGGGCAAGCATTCAAGCGCCACCCCGGTTGCAATTGCCCGATAGTGATAGTACACACACGGTTGGTGATACAAATAAAGACCGTCATCCTAAAGCCACCTTAGGAAGCGTTTATGCTCACTATACATTGCATGCCTTGTTCGCCAATCAAATGATAGAGTGGCTGCCGGCGGGGCCAGGCTATTATAATAGTCCTAATATTAGGACGACGGCAGTCCGCGGACTGCAAGGCGCTTCACGCTGCTGAAGCCCTGCCGCTCTCACGTTGGCGGGCAAACTCTGTCGGCTTTGTTTTGCTCTTCCTGAATGGCACTGTGCAATAATGTGCACTTAATGGATGCTGAAATTTGCTTGATTGCAGGTATGCTGCTGCCGATTCGCTAGCTGTACAGTTTAATGACGGCGTCAGCAGCAACCCGTCTTTCCTCTTTTCCACGAATACTGCTGACGTCGTTGAAGATGGTTACGACGCTCTTGGTAATCGCTATGTAGTTCTAAGGTTCGTGGCATATTTAACATTTTCGTACGTGCCTTAGCTTGCTTCTACATACTGTTCGAGACCTATCCTACATATGTAGTTGTACCTCATGCTGTACATGCGCGAATCCTGTATGCATGCACTGCTGCTCACTGAGCACCATTACCAGTATCGCAGCAGCCATGCGTCCAGCATTAGGGCCAGACGCAGGGCCTCATTACACTCGAGTGCAATCGTGCATGCATGTGGTGGCAGGCCTCTGCATGTTCACCGTTTTAATTCGTCCTCATAGATAACTGCCGCAGCTATGCAGCAATCCCAACCTGCAAATGCCATGTAGCCTGCCTGGCCATGGCGAGATAGTTGGCTGAATGCGGATGGCCAAATGAACTTCTGAACCTATGCTACCCGCTCATGTACATGTGGGGATCCGCAGTCCTGGTGGGGATCTGTAGCAGTGCACAGCAATGCATCGCGGTACGGAACAGTTGCAGTGCAGCATCCGCCACATACATGCTTTGTTGCCGGTTGCTGCAGGACTTATGGCTCAGTTGCGAATCCTGCACGCGCCGGAGAGATTTATGCATCCTCCTGTTGCCGCCCCAGCGGCCTTGGTGGATCAAATGCGTTGGATTCTTTTCGCTTTGCCGTGAACTATGTCCCCGGTGTGAGTTCCTCAATCATCACCCAGGCGCCGCTCGTCATACTCATGGGGAAAGCAAGGAGTCCAGGGGTAAGGACAAGAACAAGGGGAGGGAAACATTTACGTACACAGGCGGTATCTGTCTGGCATGTATCATAAAGGGGGTTATGGGGGTACATATGATATATAAGCGGAATTCCAGAGTAGGGCGGGGTACGGAGCAAATGGCATTGGCATGGCACCTGGTGATTACCTTCATGAAGTGTGTCTGTCTAAGTGGTTCAATCCCCGCCCCAGCCAGCCCTGCCCCACCCTGCTGGCTCACGCGGATGACACTGCCCTGTTGCAGCAGCTCGTTATGTTACACACAATGAAATTGAGCTTGCCGCGCAGCATTGCATTGGCGTAGCATTGCAATGTAAATAATGTTTGCATCCTCGGTGGATGCATATGCATTCTTTTGTTTCGTCACCACACGTCTAAGTAATAAGTACATACATACGTACGTATCTCTGCTGGTGTACATCCACGGTGAGCATCTTTTCATTCTGCCTTATGTCTCCTTACACGTTAATGGTTTGTTGTGCATAGTTATTAGCCATGCAAAGTAATTTTATATAGGAAACATCAATCAGCTGGGTATGGGAAGCAAGTACATACCAAACAAAGGGCAAGCAGATCTGGACTGCAGCATGAGATTGGACTAAAAGGGGAGTAGTGAAGGCGGCGCGCTAGATTTGATGTCGCACTTACTACATGGGCACCTGCCCTGCCTCCATTTGTATGCTTTGCTAACAGACCTATAACTACACCTTCGTGCCGGCCGTCAGTTCCCACGGGGCGGCCATCAGCTGCTCCATCAACACGGACCTCACCAATACATCCCCTGTGAGTTGTTGCCATGCCTCCCTAAGTAACGTAATAGAAACATGCATGCGCACACGCCTGCCTGCATTTCCAGATGTACTGCCGTGCACGTGTGGTGATGCATGTAAGCACGCACACATGTTTAACGATCTGCACTGTAACAACAATCCCGCAATATCGGCCTGCTCCGTGCTGTGCATTGTTATATTATCTAAGAGAACGCATGCCATGTATGCGACACTGCACATACCGTAGTGCTACTTATAGTTCGTGCTACAATAATTCGGGAGGCACCACGAATATGTAGCACGTACAAATTCTAAGGTATCCCAAGGGACCGCAGCCCCGAAATATCGTACCCTCCGAAGCCGGTCGATCAAACTTCGCAAAAACTAGGATTTCAAGGCGGAAATCAGCTCTTAAATACATAAAATATAGTTTCAGCCACATGAAGACACGTTTCAGTAGCAACCACCCAAACACTGTATTGGCCCAGCCGGTTGGTTACTAGGTCGTTGCCACTGGTACTGAACTGTACGATCGGTCCAGAATTTGCTAGGGCGTTTCCAAAGTGCGAAAATGCTGAGAGACCATGAGCCTAAGGGTTCCCGGTGGAGGGAGACGGACTGGAAGCTGCAGTTTGAAAAACCCCGAAACTTTGGAAGGGGCCCCGAAATTTGTATCATGCCCGCAAAATCTGGTCCGGCCTTCCCCGAAATTCAAAGAGCACGTACAAATTTCAGAAAGTTTTTTGACCCCTCCCCAAACAAAGCGATCACGAACTATAAGTAGCACTACGGTACTTAAAAAATCCCATCGGCGGCGATCATCACTTCGGTAAGGCGGAAGAAAACGGTCGGTCCCAGATAGAGCGCGGCGTCATTCCATCATCGTTACCTAGCTACCACACCTTACTTGCTTGGCCTCGTCTCACACAGATTCCTATATTTATTGTGTTTCCTTGGTTGCGCTGCTGCCAAGTCTCACACGCAGGGGGAGCTAACTGTTTCGACAGCACCAGGGGGATGCAGGTGCGTAGGTGGGGGGTGTCATTTGTCATATTAAGTAAATGGTATTGGTTGTCATATGAAAATCGGTTAATATAGTTTGATTATGTGGGTGATCAGTGACGAAGGAGCTTCGTCCGGCACCTGCCGTTCCTTCGAGGATTGTCCGCCGCTGTATGTGCTACGGTCTGGCATTACTCTACACGGACTACCACGTATTGTCCTGGACGCGTCCGTACATCTGGTGCTTGTGTGAGTGGACGACCACGCACTTGCCGTGCCTGCTGCTTGCGGCTGCTGGACACCTGGCTAGCTAGGTAGATAGATAGACAGACAGACAGATAGATAGACAGATAGATAGCCATGAGAAAGTTTTACAAGTTACGAGTTACAGGTTCCTGTGGGGGGATGTCCTTCAAAGCCCGGTGACCATGGACTAAATGTATTTAGAGTTGATTCCGCCGTACAACTGAAGGGGGTTACTTGGTCTTGCTACCTAGACCTCCTCATCCAGTCACCCGACATCCGTAGAGACAGGCTAGCCTTCACCACCAATCCAGCATGCGAAACTAAGTCCATCAACAAGTCACCCGATGCGTCTTCGAGGAGCGCGTGCCCATGTACAACACTCAGTGACAAGGCTGGTAAATCACGACTGCGTTGGACTGAACTCGACTCGAACTCGACTCAGCCAACTCTGTTAACTCGCTGTTATGTCTCTGCAATTTCCACACGTGCAACTTGTCACTGTTCTGGCGATTGCAAATGCCCCTCCACGCGTTGTGTCGCCAATCCAAGGCCTGCTAGTTACCAGTACACCAGAATAGATATTGGACATCGTCTCCACACCTTGATAGCAATCCGTAAACGTAATCCTACCAAACACTGTAGGGAATCTACCGTCCAGAAATCGATCCTAAGAACTCCATTTGTTAATCGGCTACAGTGGCCAGCATTGTACCGCCAACCAACTTGTTAAGGTTTCTTGTTTTCTGAGTCCTGTCGGTCCAGGGACATTGTGTCACCGTGCAAGCAAGCAACGGATATCCAAAATCGTTCGCACAGACAGCAGCTATAGCAGCTAGCTAGCCGACGTCATGCGCACTGGTTCTCGCAAAGCATACATGGGAATGCAATTAGATGGGCAACCACCCACTCGCATTACTGCTTGCTTGCTTGCATCTGTCTCTTTTTAAATTCAAATCCAATTCATGTACTACCCTTTTATCTTTAGCACATAACACTTACCTGCACCCTTTCTAAGAACTGATACCTACTTCTTGGTCACGCCGGCGTTATGATGTTACGGCGGACACTGCAGACTTGGGTGGCGCAACTTCGGCTACAATTATGGCGCCATGACTGGTGTTGGACTTCGGATATCTGAACCATCCACGGGACACTACATTGACATCATCTTCCGTCTGGTGCGTTGTGTACGCAAACCTGTGTACATATTTGTGTCGTTTCGTGTGTGCACACGTGCGTATGTATGTACGTGCTGCTGGTGTGTCGATGCGCGTGCCAGGGCTGTGATAGCACCGGGATGAAAGGCTGTGTCAGCTTACTCGAACGACACTGCCCCTTCTCAAGGGACTGGACCGCCTGGGGCCGTCCAGGGTCCCGGCCACACACCAGCAGAAGCCTGCGCCCGCCTCCTCCTACCCTTAAGGGCAGTCGGTCGCAAATCCACATCACGCATGCACTCATCCATTACTGTCCATTCATGGATCCGATACACAGCCGCAGGCAGCATACCATGTGAAGTACCAGTAGAAACACCAGCACGGCAACCTACTGCGCTAGCACTGCCGTCTTACTTCCACTCCTTTCTGCCTGGCGCTGTATTCACGACTATCACACACTGCTTGCGTATGTGCAGGTGTTCGCGGACTTGGGCGGCCAGCCTGTGCTCTCCTCAAACATTGTTTCGACGACTGGTCAGGTGCTGCCGCAAAGCGGCGGAAATATCATCGTCTACGTGGGGGTACCTGTCACGGTGCGATGCATGCGTGTTTAGACTCGTACAGAAAGCATTGTTGTTAGGGTGTATTCGCGTGGCTGTGATGCGTGTGTCATATCGGCATACACTGACAGTCACACATTTATTTCATTTATGTGTTTGTGTGTGAGAGAGTGTGAGAGTGTGTATGTTTGGAAGTATGGAGGTTACAAGTATCTGACCAGGCCTTACACTGGCCAGGGACTGCTGCCCAGCCCCAACGGAAAGACCGCCTAAGCTCTCTCCCGCGGACGGGAGAGGGGCGCTAGAGGGGCCTCTGTCCCTTCTAAACAGCCGAGAGACGCAGGTCCGCTAGCTCCAGCCTCCCTCTCCCGAAAAGGGGAAAGGGGGCCCCCATTGCACACGGCCAAGCTCTCGCGAGTCAAGGCAACACACACAAACAACACACACATGTACATCCCTGCACGGTATATGCACCGAATCTCCCGCAAGCCCCAAGTCCCTAGTCCGGCAAACCTCTCTCCCGGCTTATCCCTCTGACTTCCTTTGGCAAACACACTCCATTAGGTGTGTGTGCGCGTGTGTGGTGGGGTGGGGTGGGGGGTACTCCGCGGGGTGGGACCACTCCCAGTTGTGCTCAAGGCTTGAGGCCTAAGGCCTAAGGCCTGGGTTTGAGAGGGAATCTGAGACTTTTCCGAATCCAGCACCAATTCCCCCGCCCCCCATTCCCACCATCGCAGCCCCGCCCTCCCACCCACCCGCCCACGCACCATGAAATCCTCCGGCACGGCATACCCGTACGCCGGCATGGGCGCCGCCGTATCGTCCGCCGATACTGCTGACACCACCAGTCTGAAGGGTGGCTTTCGTACCATCAGCAGCCCCTCCACTCGCTGTGGACATAGGAAAACTGAGGGTTTGCTGAACACAGGGGGGGTGTCGGAGGTGTGCGAGTCTGGTTGTGAGGGCATGTGGGGGGTGGAAGAGGATGGTTATGTGGTGATGGCACCTTGTGGTACCTCACGTTTCGGTACTCCTTACACGCATTGCTGAACACGTGTGTGTATGCAGGTGGTGTTTACTGTGACGGACCCCAATGCTGGTGATGTAATCACAGCCTCAAGCAGCACCTTGCCGTCTGGAGCCACCCTCACAACCACACCCAGCAGCGGTGTCGCACCCGTAACAGTGACCTTCAGCTGGACTCCTAGTGCCCTCTCCCCTACCTCGGGTGTCGTATCTATCAGCTTCATGGATTCAACCGGCTTGTCTACAGTCTCCTCCTTCAGCTTCGCAACCTCTTCGCTACCACCCAGCCCTCCATCCCCACCTCCACCCTCCCCTCCACCCAGCCCTCCATCCCCCCCTCCACCCTCCCCTCCACCCAGCCCTCCATCCCCACCTCCACCCTCCCCTCCACCCAGCCCTCCATCCCCCCCTCCACCCTCCCCACCACCCAGCCCACCATCCC